AAGTGACTGCAATTGTGTGAACTTCATTTAGATCCTGAAGCAAATAAAACCACGAGTAACAGAAATTATGCGGCAATCAAGGGAATTTGAAGGCTGACTGGATATCTGATGATATTACAGGGCCTGCTGGTATTTTTAGCCATCATAATGATAATGTGGTTACTGTGGTTTTGTTTTAAATAGAGACCTCATCTATACTATTTCTTTCCAGAAACATTCATGGATGAACTGATACAATGCCTGGGATTTGCTTCAAAATGTTCCAGGGGAGAGGCAGAGGGTCAGGGCAGAGATGGAACATACCTGGCTGGGAGTTGGGCGTTGTTAAAGCTGGGAATGGGGCTATAGGCGTTCACTGCAGTCTTTTTTTTTTTTTTTTTTGTCGCCCAGGCTGGAGTGCAGTGGCCGGATCTCAGCTCACTGCAAGCTCTGCCTCCTGGGTTTATGCCATTCTCCTGCCTCAGCCTCCCGAGTAGCTGGGACTACAGGCGCCCGCCACCTTGCCCGGCTAGTTTTTTTTGTATTTTTAGTAGAGACGGGGTTTCACCGTGTTAGCCAGGATGGTCTCGATCTCCTGACCTCGTGATCCGCCCGCCTTGGCCTCCCAAAGTGCTGGGATTACAGGCTTGAGCCACTGCGCCTGGCCTCACTGCAGTCTTTCCTCTATTTGGGTGGATGTTCGAAAATTTTCACAATTAAAAAGGGGGCGGCTGGGTATGGTGGCTCATGCCTGTAATCCCAGCACTCTGGGAGGCCAAGGTGGGTGGATCATTTGAGGTCAGGAGTTCAAGACCAGTCTGGTCAACGTGGTGAAACCCTGTGTCTACTAAAAATACAAAACTTATCCGGGCATGGTGGCGTATGCCTGTAGTCCCAGCTACTCGGGAGGCTGAAGTAAGAGAATCGCTTGAGCCCAGGAGGCAGAGGTTGCAGTGAGCCAAGATTGCGCCACTGTACTCCAGCCTGGGTGACAGAGCAAGACTCTCTCTTAAAAAAAAATAAAAAATAAAAAAAATAATTAGCTGAGTGTGGTGGCATATGCCTGTAATCCCAGCTACTCGGGAGGCTGAGGCACGAGAATTGCTTGAACCCAGGAGGCAGAGGTTGTGGTGAGCTGAGATGGTGCCATCGCATTCCAGCCTGGGCAACAACAGTGAAACTCCATCTCAAAAAAAAAAAGAAAGAAAAGAAAAGAAAAAGAAATAAAAAAAAACCAAAAGGGGAAAAATGTTCATTCTCATTGGAGGTATACAAGGGACAAACACTGCTTTTTTCTCCTTGTGATTTGCTGAAGGCTAAAGAAGCAGAGGAAAAATAATATCTGCTTTTATTCATTGGTATTGAAAATGTTATCTACAATTAAAAATAATACATTCTCTCTCTTTCTGTCTCTCTGTCTCTGTCTTTCTTTTTTTGACACAGGGTCTCACTCTGTCACTCAGGCTGGAGTGCAGTGGCGTGATTTCACCTCACTGCAGCCTTGAATCCTGGTCTCAAACAATCCTCCCATCTTAGCCTCCTGAGTAGCTGTGATCACAGGCACTCAATACCATACCTGACTAACTTTTGTGTGTGTAAAGATGGGGTCTTGCCATGTTGCCCAGGCTGGTCTCAAACTTCTGGGCTCAAGGGATCCCCCTGCCTTGGCCTCCCAAAGTGTTGGGATTACAGGCGTGAGCCACGGTGCCCAGCTCGATATTTCTTTTTAATGTAAGGAAAAGTGAAGGCTCCGGTTTGAATCTGAGCTTTGCATTGACCTTGTCACTGTGTTTGACCTTGAACAAGGAACTTCCCTCTGGTGCCTCAGTTTCTTCCTCTGTAAAATGGTGTGATGATAATATTCCTTTTTTTTTTTTTCTTGAGACGGAGTCTAGCTCTGTCTCCCAGGCTGGAGCGCAGAGTCATGATCTCAGCTCACTGCAACCTCTGCCTCTTGGGTTCAAGCGATTCTCCTGCCTCAGCCTCCTATGTCTGCAGCTGGGATTAGAGATGTCTGCCATCACACCTGGCTAATTTTTGTATTTTCAGTAGAGACGAGGTTTCACCATATTGGCAGACCGTTTTCAAACTCCTGACCGCAAGTGATCTGCCTGCCTCAGCCTCCCAAAGTGCTAGGATTCCAGGCGTGAGCCACGCACCCGGCCGATAATGCTGCTTCTTAGAGTCCCTGTGCTGCTTGCAAGAAAGATAAATGTGAGCGCAGTATTTAGTGTACTGCCTGGCCCAGAGAAAGTGCCCCATAAGTGTGAGCCCTTCTTATTCCTCCACCAATTCCTGTGCTCAAAACATCTGGGCAATTCACTCCCGCTGACCTTTATCGAGTAGCTACTGAGGGCTGGGCACTGACTGGACCTGGGAATTCAGTGGCCTCTGCCGCCTCCTCTTGCTCCGGGTCACCACGGGCCACTGCCCTAATTGTCCTGGCCACGGGCTGGCCTTCCTGGCCCTCGGGGGAGCTGTTTGCCTTAAAAGTTTGTAGCTCAGCTCTCCCATATGTAGAATAAAACTTGTGCTTAGAATTGGCAGCAAGAAGTTAATTGTTCCCAGTTCAGCTCCTCCGCTCTTCAGCAATGCCAGCCTCCCCTTCCTTCCCCTGCCTCTCCCCAGGGTCCCAATTAGGAGAGTTTTCCAGCAGCGAGTGCTCCAAGCATTCAGCTGCTGCCCCCTGCCCTGCGAAGCTCTGCTAGGCCTTGGGTTCACTGCCTTCCCGGGACCGAGAGGCCCAAGGCCGGAGCAAAGCTGGGTCAGATCCAGTTCTGGACCATCCCTCCTTTGTTTGCTTGCAACACTAGCAGAAATTCCTCTTCATGATTTCATCCCAGTCCCTTCTTGTCCAGCCTCCCCCACCTCGGAGGAAGAACCGCTAAGGCAGCGAGTCCTAGAATTAATCTCAGTTGCGGCAAGCACGATGCAGAGGGCTGCGGGAACCTTCGGGATGTGTCAGCGGTCACCTCGAGGTCATGTGTTCCCTGGGCTGAAGCTCAGGGCCTGCAGTGCTCTCCTCTTCACAGCTGGCCTCCCCTCAAATGCTCTGCCTCCTCTCCCACATCTGGAGGGAGTGGACGGCATCCTTCCATCTGCTCCACATTGCTGGGGGCAGGTCCTATGCCTTTAAAACATAGTGTGGCTCCCCTACGCTGTGCTGTGTCGTGTCTTCAGTCCTCCGTGGGGAGGACAGGCACGGGGCCTACATGGAATGACACGAGAGAATCGGGCCTGGGCTCTGAGGTCTGTGTTCCAGGATGGGATGACTAAGAAATCCTGACTTTTAGCGCAGTTAGAAGGAGAGCAAATGCACTACTACTACTATTACTACTGCTATTTTCTTTTTGTCAGAGTCTCGCTGGAGTGCAGTGGCACAGTCTCAGCTCATCGCAACCTCTGCCTCCCAGGTTCAAGCAATTACTCTGCCTCAGTCTCCTGAATAGCTGGGACTACAGGCACGTGCCACCATGCCCAGTTAATTTTTGTACATATATGTATTTTTTTTAGTAGAGATGGGATTTCACCATGTTGGCCAGGCTGGTCTTGAACTCCCAACCTCAGGTCATCCACCTGCCTTGGACTCCAAAAGTGCTAGGATTATAGGCATGAGCCACCACGCCTGGTCTACTGCTATTATTACTATTATTATTTGTTATGGGCTGAGTTGTGTCTGCAAAATCTTCATGTTAAATTCTAACCTCCAGCACCCCAAAATCTGACTGTATTTGGAGACAGAAATGTTAAAGAGGTAGTTAAATGAGGTCATTAGTGTGGGCCCTAATCCAGTGTGACTGACTGGGGTCCCTATAAGAAGAGGACATTTAGCCAGACTTGGTGGCTCATGCCTGTAATCCCAGCACTCTGGGAGGCTGAAGCGGGTGAATTACTTGAGGTTGGAGTCTGAGACCAGCCTGTCCAACATAGCGAAACCTCATCTCTATTAAAAATACAAAAAAATTAGCTGGACGTGGTGGCGCATGCCTGTAGTCCCAGCTACTCGGGAGGCCGAGGCAAGAGAATTGTTTGAACCTGGGAGGCGGAGGTTGCAGTGAGCCAAGATCTCTTTGGACACAGACACAGAGTGAAGACAGACACCTAGAAGTCAAGGAGAGAGGCCTCAGAGGAAACCAACTCTGCCCACACCGTAATCTCGTACTTCTACCCCCCAGAACCGTGCAAAAGTAAATTTCTGTTGTTTAAGCCAGGGTTCCCCAATCTCCCAATGACCACCAGGTACCAGTCTGTGGTCTATTGGGAACCAGGCTGCACAGCAGGAAGTGAGCAGCAGGCAAGAAAGTGAAGCTTCATCTGTACTTAGAGCTGCTCCCCAGTGCTCACATTACCACCTAAACTCCGCCTCCCGTCAGTGGGAGCATTCGATTCTCATAGGAGCGTGAACCCTACTGTGAACTGTGGATGTGAGGGATCTAGGTTACTCCTTATGAGAATCTAATGCCTAATGATCTGTCACTGTCTCCCATCACCCCCAGATGGGACCGCCTAGTGGCGGGAAAACAAGCTCAGGGCTCCCACGGATTCTACATTGTGGTGAGTTGTACAGTTATTTCATTATATATTACAATGTGATAGTAATAGAAATAAAGTTCACAATAATGTCATGTGCTTGAATCATCCCGAAACCATCCCTCCCCACTCCCCAGTCCGTGGAAAAATTGTCTTCCGTGAAACTGGTCCCTGGTGCCAAAAAGGTTGAGGACTGTTGCTTTAAGCAATCCCGTCTGTGGTACTTGGTTATAGTAGCCCAAATGCATTTCTACGACTACTAAAATCACTTTCCGAGTGCTCCTCATGTGTTCGTCATTGTGCTGAACAAATTACAAATATTATCTCACTTAATCCTCACACAACTCCAAGGAGCGGGTATTATTATCATCTTCATTTGCAAATGAGAAAACTGAGTTTATTTTAGTTATTCAGTGGTGCGAGCAGTGCACAGAGTAGCTGCTCAATAAATATTGATCGAAGGACGGAAGCTGAGACATGTTAAAGAACACGTGCAGGTCGCCAGCAAGAGGCAGAGCTGGGACTTTAACCCAAGTCTGTCTGAGTCCTAATCCTGTGCCCTTAACCACACACTACCTGGAGTCGAGGGCAGCCTGGGGATATGTTTGAGCGTGAAGCCCACAAGAGCCCTGGTAAGAAGTGAATGGTGGATTTTTCTCATGGGGCCATGGCTACACCAGGTGTTTCTTTTTGTTTATTTTTCTCTCTCTTTTTTTTTTTTTGAGACGGAGTTTCGTTCTGTTGCCCAGGCTGGAGTACAATGGCTGCAATCTCGGCTCACTTTAACCTCCGCCTCCCAGATTCAAGTGATTCTCCTGCCTCAGCCCCCCGAGTAGCTGGGATTACAGGAGCCCCTGCCACCACGCCCAACTAATTTTTGTATTTTTAGTAGAGATGGAGTTTCACCATGTTGGCCAGGCTGGTCTTGAACTCCTGACCTCAGGTGAGCTGCCTGCCT